TATGAGTACTCTTTAAGCCAAATTTGGTACCTTGTGGCAGAAAACATATAACAAAATACGTCTGCATACACATAAACACACACATACACACTCATATAAACAAATATCCTGGAGCATTTACTTCAGAACTCTAGCCATGAGATATTAATAACAACTCATTGGTTTGCAAAAACAATAACAAAAAGAAATGGTTAGGTGCAAACAGTGGATTTTATCTCAGTAGAAAAGTAACAACAGACTTAAAGCAGGCAGAAAAGAAAGCAGAGAGATAGAGAACTTAGGAGCTTTATAGTTGCAATCGACCTTCAGGCTCTGAATTTTCCTTGATGTAATTTGCTTGTCAGTTTAAAATGTGCACAAGAACAGACCTAACATGTAACCAGCTGGAGTATTAGAAAATCTGGCATGCCCTTCTATTTACACAGCTACTTGCAAGTAGAGGAGCCATAAAACCAAATGGGGTTCCAAGGGGGGGCGGGGTTGTTCTCCTTGCCTTTCCTCATTCTTAGATGATGTGTTTCCCACATTTTTTTTTTCTTAAAAGGAGGAACTGAGCTGTGGCCTAGGGTTTAATGTGGTGGGTCAAAGTGTGCTGGTTGTGGACAGGACTCCCCAGTGCATCACCACTGAATCGCTTCGGTCCTCTTCTGTGTCTCAGTTTCTCTCTCCAGAGGTCTAGCACCCCTGGGAGGGCTCAAAGCTTGGGGTGAGCAGCTCCTATATGTGCTCCCTGGATGAACCTTTTAAAACTAATTTTTTTTTTTTTTTTTTTTGAGACGGAGTCTCACTCTGTCACCCAGGCTGGAGTGCAGTGGCGCGATCTCGGCTCACTGCAATCTCCGCCTCCCGGGTTCCCGCCCTTCTCCTGCCTCAGCCTCTGGAGTAGCTGGGACCACAGGCACCGCCACCACGCCCGGCTAGTTTTTTGTGTATTTTTAGTAGAGACGGATTTCACCGTGTTAGCCAGGATGATCTCCATCTCCTGACCTCGTGATCCGCCCGCCTCGGCCTCCCAAAGTGCTGGGATTACAGGCGTGAGCCACCACGCCCTTCCTAAAACTAATTTTGTTGGCAGTTCCCTGTAGGTCTACTGCACATCAAAGGGAGGCAACCCCCAGACACTCCCACTTGGCCTCCAGTCACTGAGGAGCACCTTTTTTGACTGAGAGGAGCAAAATGCCCTTTCTCTTTGGAGTTGAGGAAACTCAGTCTCATTTATCTATGAAAGTGACAGTGCAGTTCCTCATGCAAATATGCAGACAAGCCAATGGACATTAATTTGGGGAGGAAAGGCAACAGAGAAGACTCTTTAGAATGTTCCTCTGAATTAGAATTGAGATCCTAAACAACTTCCTAGGAGGAAAAAAACCCAGCCAAGACCACTTTCTGTAAACTGTCCTCGGCCACCTTTAACTGTAGCTCTTGTCTGCTATTACACATGCCAAGGTCAAATCCTCTCACAGCACAAGGTAATCTCTGGTACCCCTGATACAGGACTTAAGAAGAAATCACTTGGGCAGATAGTAAGGGTATGGGGTAAGGTTTTTGTGTTTAATGAAAAGCAGCCCCAAATCATTTTCTAACAAAGAGCAGCCTGTAAAGTCCAGCTGCAGACATAGAGAGGCAAGATGGCTCTAATCAACTGGAAAGTCTATTTGCATAATAATATTCAGCTGGGGCCACCAGCCTTCCCCATGCACCATGTAAACATCATACCTGATCGAACCAATCTGTGAGCCCTATGTAAATCAGACACCGCCTCCTCAAACCTGACTAAAATTTGGCGCATCCACCACCTGCTGGTCCTTTCCACTGGGAGACCCCTTTCTCTATAGAGAAAGCTGCTCTCTTCCTCTTCTCTTCTGCTCATTAAACCTCTGCTCCTAAACTCCTTGTGTGTGTCCATGTCCTAAATTTTCCTGGTGCATGACAATGAACCCCAGGGTGTATATCCCAGACAACGTAGCCACTTCACCCCCAAAAGCCGAAGAGATCAGGTAATGCAATACAGGAGAGGAGAGCTTTAGACCTAACAAGATTCTGCCCATGACTCTTGAAACTCCACAAAGAAAACAGAACACCCCCAGAGGAGTGAATGGTGTCTTTGTCCTGAGTTCTTTAAAGGGTTAAAGTCATTAGATGCCTTCTTTAGATTCTTCTTGGTACCAAAGATGGCGAGAGGAGAAGGAGGAATAGGGTGGAAGAAAAGTAAATGAAATAACAATTATTTTTTTAAGACAGGGAGCAAACACACAAAGCAAGTGCATGTTTGGTCATTTTTTTCTCTTTTGCAGCTGCAAGGAATTTTAGCCAATTCAGAGATACCTTGTTACCCATTATTTGGAATTCTCATTCGGATTTTACCAAGTCCAGTAGAATTGGCCAAATGTGATGGGAGAAATACTGGAACAAACAACAAAAGAACCCCAACAATATGATTACTGAGTCCTCTGATGGTAAGGAGAAATTAAGACCAGCTGACTGTTAACCATAACTTTAGCCAAGACAAAACTCCAATTCAGCTTCTTACCTAGGAGTGGGTCTCAGGCTGAAGACTGCTCTCTACCATCCCAGAAGCAGGAAAAAACTCTAACTCACCTTCCCTGTTGGAAGTGAGCTCAAATTCCAGAATGCAGTTATCTGCCTTTCATTGTCATGGAAGCAGGAAAACTTGCCTTCCTTGTTGGAAGCAAGCAAAACTCCAGAAAAGTAGTTGTACAGCAAAATAAACTTTAGATCTCAACCAAATTTTGGGAGATGAGGGATTCTCTGGAGGGAGAGGAGCTCCCAGGCCTCAGCAAATTGTTCTATTGGTTTGAGCTCAAGTTGGTACCAAGTACTGATAGGAGATTTGTCAAAGGTCAGGGCCACCTCCACTCAGTCTCTTTGTGGTCACCAAATGTGTACCTCGAATATCTGAGACACGTCTCAGTGAATTTAGAAAGTTTATTTGGCCAAGGTTAAGGACATGCACATGACACAGCCTCAGGAGGTCCTGATGCCATGTGCCTAAGGCTTGGTTTTATACATTTTAGGGAGACATGAGACATCAATCAGTATATGTAAGATATGCAATGGTTTGGTCCAGAAAGGTGGGACAACTTGAAGTGGGGAGGGGGCTTCCAGGTCATAGGTAGATAAGAAACAAATGGTTGCATTCTTTTGAGTTTCTGATTAGCCTTTCACTGAATACACAATTTACATGTGAGAGCAGGAATAGTCACTTATGTTTTAGTCTGACTTTGTGAAACAATAGGGCAAAGGAAGCAATCAGATATGCATTTGTCTCATGTGAGCAGAGGGATAACTTTGAGTTCTGCCTGTCCTTTGTTTACAAGGAATTTCTTCATGGGCAAATTGTGAGGAAGGTATGTAGCTTTAAAAAAATATATTTGTAGTTATTTTATATAGGAGGCAGGTTTGCCTAATGCACTTCCCAGCTTGACTTTTCCCTTTGGCTTGGTCATTTGGGGGAGATTTATTTTCCTTTCAATCCATCAAGAAGACATAACAACTGTAAATATATATATGTGTGTGTGTGTGTATATATATATATATATATGTATGCACCCAACATTGGAGTAGCTAAATATATAAATATATAAATATATAAAGCAAATATTTACAGAACCCAAGGGAGAAATTGACAGCAACATGGAGACTTCAACACCCCACTCTCAACAGTGGACACGTCATCCAGAAAGACAGTCAATAAGGAAACATTGGACTTAAACAAAACTCGAAGTCTTTCCTGAGTTCACCTTGGCTTGCCACAGCAGGCCACATGACAGGCCACGTGGCAGCCCACTAGATCTCACGTCAGCATCAATTAGAATATCACTTCAGTTTTTCTTTCTCTTTGCATTTTCTCTGTAGTAAATTCCTAACCTCCTGCAGTTTTCTCTAGCTCAACAAATGACAACCCCATTCTTTCATTTGCTCAGGCCAAAAACCTGGGAGGCATCCTTGAAGCCTCACTCTCTCTCTCACCTCATTCAAATCCTAATCAAATCCCATCTGCTCTCCCTTCACATCCCTCCTCTGATCTAAACCTTCTGTTGGCCCCTGCTATGGCCCCCAGGAAGAGCCTAAATCCTTTCAATGGCTCACAATATCTGCTCTGCCCCTCGCTTAATCTGGTTTTTCTGCTACCACTCAAATATGCTAGGGATGCTCTTGCCTCAGCACCATGTGGCTGTTTGAAGGATCTGAATCCTCACATTAGCATGGTGGCTCCACAAGAGCTGGGCGGGGGGGGGGAGGGGTGGTTAGATAGTGCCATTGCACTCCAGCCTGGGTGACAGAGCAAGACCCCATCTGTTTGTTACCTGTCCAGTATCCGTCTCACAGTAGGTGATCAACAAGTGTCTGTTGAATGAAGGATTTCAAACTCAGAACAGCAAAAAGGAAAAGCAAATTAATATATCTATTTTTTGAGACAGGGTCTTGCTCTGTCACCCAGGCTGCAGTGCAATGGCAGTATCTCAGCTCACCGCAGCCTCCACCTCCCAGGTTCAAGCAAGTCTCCCACCTCAGCCTCCTGGGTAGCTGGGATCACAGGGGCGCGCCACCACGGCCAGCTAATTTTTGCATTTTTAGTAGAGATGGGGTTTCACCATGTTGGCCAGGCTGGTCTCCAACTCCTGACCTCAGGTGATCCACCCGCCTCGGCCTCCCAAAGTGCTGGGATTACAGGCGTGAGCCACTGCACCTGGCCAATAATTTAATTACCTGTATTACATTTATAATACTGAATAAATAGAAACACCTTAAATAATTATTACATAGGGAGGTGGTTAAATGACTCATGTCATATCCACTACATTAAAAAAATCTCATGTTTAAATTAGTTTGGGAAATGCTATATATTATACTCACTTGTGGAGATTAATATTAGCCTGTTAAAAGTTCTTAGAAGTCCTGGAGCAAAGAAAAATAGGTTTAATGTGTTTAAATGTGTTTAATCCAGCATTTCCCAAACATAACTGACCACAGGGCCCTCACTGTTTTGTGACTTTTATTAAAACAGAACTATTGTTTCACAGAACAGACTTTGGAAAACTTGTAATACATATATAGAAAAAAATTGAAGGGAGGTACATCAAGATGTTAATGATGTTTATTTCTGGGTGCTAGAATTATGAAAACTTACTCTTCTCTGTATTTCTCAACTTTTTTTTTCCAATAAATATGTGTTACTATTATAATCAAAACAGTAATAAGGATATTCACATTTTAAAATTGCAGCTTTTGAAGGAGAAAATGAAGGCAAAGATAATTCAAGTTGGAAGACAATTTAATTTTAACTGATAGATACTTCCTCATTTTAAGCAGATAGCAAATACCCCACTCTTTTGGAGTCCAACCGGAGAGACCACATGTGCCCTGTTGAATCTTCTAGTTCTTCACTGGACTGGGTCAACTACAAGAATGCTGGGAAAAGAAGATAAAATGGTAAATGCTCTGCACAGAGTTACTATGTAATTATATCCCTTTTTCAAAGATTGGATTTTTCACCACTTTTTCTCTTAATATGAACCAAATAATTCCATACAAACAAAATGCTTTGATGAAAAAGCAGAATGTGTTTCCAGTACAGTGGGGCTTGGAGGTAGTGGTATAAGTATGGTTAGGTAGTTTTTCTTCTTTCGTTTTTAAAGTATCTTTTTAAAAATGAACTGACCAAACAAGATAGCTCGTTGTAGAAAGATCAGAAAGTGCAATTAGATGGGGAAAAAAAAGTTAACACCACCACCAATAATAATAAAACAATCTACTCACTACCACAAGGAGATAACCAATGTCTAATACTTCGGTAAGGTTCTTAGAGGCTTTCCCCCTATATGATTAGTTTTTAAAAAGAAATTAGACTAAACTATGTATCTTCTGTTATAATCTGTTTTTTCCACTCAATGATATTTCATGAATATCTTTCCGTGTAATTATTCTTAGTACTCATTGTATGAATGTGCAATGCTTTCTTCAGCCAGCCCCAGACTGATGGACATTTACATTTTCATTTCTTCACTATTGAAAACCATACTAAAAATTCCTTGTACACATATCTTTGTGGACTTGTTAGAGCCTGTCAGTCCTCCTGATTGCCACCTCTGCTTCTGGAATGCTGGGAGATTAGCCAAGCTTTCATGTGCCTCAGGTAATAAGCAGCTAGCTTAAGCCTTCATTACAGCTGCAGCTAATGGTATATACAGGTGAGTATAGAGGAGGAAGAATGAGGCACAGAAAGACTGCAATCCTCACCGTGAAATGTCTTAATTAAAAATCAACAAGTATTACTGAGAGTCTACTATGTGCCCAGTACCAAGTCCCAATTTTTCCTGGGAATTGATGTGTCCTTTATGACCACAGACTTCAGTCTTCTTTAATTCCTGCAACACTTAAAAAATTATAACTTGACCAGACTCTGTGACTCACGCCTGTAATCCCAGCACTATGGGAGGCTGAGGCGGGTGGATCACAAGGTCAGGAGTTGGAGACCAGCCTGACCAACATGGTGAAACTCCATCTCTACAAAAAAGACAAAAATTAGCCAGGCGTGGTGGCGCGTGCCTGTAATCCCAGCTACTCAGGAGGCTGAGGCAGGAGAATCGCTTGAACCCGGGAGGCAGAGGTTGCAGTGAGCTGAGATGGCGCCACTGCACTCCAGCATGTGTGACACACTGAGACTTAATCTCAAAAAAAAAAAAAAGAAAAAGAAAAAATTATAACTTTTTCTTCTGTTGGATTATTTTGGTTCTCTTAATCAAAGAAATCATTCTGTGCCTCCTATAGCTACCATTTCTTCTCTAATCTTACTTTCACCAAACTGTTTAATACTGCTTGCCTATGTAATCCTGTTTTGCATATTTTCTTTCATATTTTGTACCAATGTCTCTCTTTCTTCATGGTTCCTCATTTTGGTGATAGTTTTACTTTTTGTCTTTTACATTTTTCTTGGGATTTTCCATCTAATTTTCATCTTCTCCTTTTGTTTTAGTATACCTTATCTGCCCTGTTTTATTTCTGCATATAGCTTTTATTATTATTATTATTATTATTGAGATGAGGTCTTGCTGTGTTCCCAGGCTGGTCTCGAACTCCTGGCCTTAAGCAATCCTCCCGCCTCAGCCTCTCAAAGTGCTGGGATTACAGGCATGTACCACCATGCCCGACCTTAGCTATTATTTTATATTTTGTATCAAATGTTTTGAATTTATGGCAATATGTTAGTACACAGTTTTTATCTGCCCTGAGATATTTTTCTAGTGAGTATTCCTCATCTGCCATTTCTTGCTTATATGTTTCTTGTCTTTTCCATACAGTAACTCAGTATAGATCCGGTGCTGTTTCCTGTTGAATGAGATAAACTCTTACTGGACCAGTTATTTATAGGAGATTTGCACAAGTCACCAGCGCTATACTTTAGACTAACAAATTATCTTCATGATGCTGAGGTATGTGTAAGCTCTTGTAGCCTTTACTTCTTTCCAGCCAAGTGAGAGCAGCAGCTGTAGGTCTGAGCATAAAGAAGTTTCAGACTTCACCTTCTTGCCTCAACAGACTGCTTCTTAAAAATATGGCTTGCCTATATGCTTATTCATTCAAATTTATCTGTTAGGCTTCTACTTGGTGCCCAGTTGGGTCCAGAAATGTTTCTTTCACTAGTTAGCTTGCTTGTTCCCAGCAAGGGTTTATTGGCTTTTCTCTTCAGGTTAAGCCATCTACTTCAAAGAAGGAATTATTTTTGTTGGCATATAGTCTGCCTTATCTTCACAGAAGTCCCTCTGAATGTGCATGGTTAACCAATACTTCTGATGCTTTTGATGCAGCTTACCTGCCGACCACAGTTTGAGTAACAGTGACTTCAAAGATGTGGAACCAGACATATCTTATTTGAGTTCCAGCTTCCTTGGTTGGTTACTAGGTATGCTATTCAGGGATATTCAGCTGCTATAACGGTCCTGAGGTCTTAGTAGCTTAACACAATAAAATTGATCCTTCACTCATGACTCATTCTGATGTAGGTTAAGTTCTCCTCCATGAGGTGATTCAGGGATCCCAGCTCCTTCCATCATGTGACTTCACCACCTTAGAGTCCTTCAGTTGAAGCCATGCATATGCGAAAGAGAGAGGTAGCATGGACACATGTGCAAGACATTTTATGTCATACATTCCTTTTGCTCGTATTTTACTGGCCAAATCTCAGTACTGTGGTCCCAGCCTAGTTGGAAGGAAGATTGGGAATATAATGTTACTCTGTGCTTAGGGAAGAAGGAACAGGATTGCTGAACAAATAGCCAGTCTCTGTTACAGTCTGACTTTCTGATCATCCAGTATCTGTTTCACTTTTCTTTTCATATGTGGAACACAGCCACCCTGTCATGCATATGGAAATATTCCACCCATATTTCCGCTTGAGAAAGGCCTTATTTCCCTAGCTGCTGAGAGTGTTGTCAGCAGAGAGCCTCTACCTGTTAGCTCATTCGGAGGCTGCCTCAGCTGCAGAGAGCTTCCATGTACTTTCTGGGAACAGCCCACATCCAGTGAATGATCTAGGTGGGGTTAGAGAGGTCCAGCCATTTCAGCCATGTGGGACAACTCTGATGGGGCTGACTGAGTCTTTGTTGGGCTTGCAAGACAGTTTGATTTCTCCCTTCCACCCCATATCTTCCACAGGCGTTGATCATTAATAATACCCTGAATGCCAAATTCTGGTCTCCCTGTCTACTTTCAGAATACCTGACTTGTGGCAAACCCTTTCCTCAGGACTAAATCTCATTTATCACTGCGTTCAGCTCAAAGTCCAGAGTATCTGGTGATGCTGAGTTCTCTCAAGTCTGGGGGTGGCTCTGCTTGGTTAAGTGATCTGCTCCTGATCTCTACAACCCAGAATAACGATGGAACAGGAAGAGGATAAGCACCATAAACATTCCTATTTGAAAAGAGGAAGAACGAGAGACACACAGCAGTCATTGCTCTGTGGCAATCCTGGAGTCCTGGTGGGTAGGCATCGATTAGACCCAAATCCTGCTTTCAAAGGGTGGCTCTGTGGCCCTTTGTCCGTTCTCTGGGAGGCTCTTCTGATCCATTATTCTTCTGAAGCAAATGTTGGGACCTTCAAAGCTGGTGTCCTTCTTTTTCATGGAAGGTTGGAGGCCTAACTATTGTTCACAACTGATGGCTCATTTAGTTCTGGCTTATGGTTTCTCTGGCAATAAGCTTCTCTCAAAAGCTTAGCTGATATCTAATCTATTTGCCTCCAATCAGTTCCATGTGCCAGTAACCACATCCAAGGTTGCTTCCTAGACACAGTTCTTGATCCTGTGATCATTTCGAGGTTACAGGAGCCATAGGTGATGCCACACCCTTGATCTGATCTTTATCCTCAGCCACTTGCCTTAGATTTTTGAGCTCTTTTAATTGCTTTCTTTCTCTGTCTTTCTAGCAACCAGCACACAGACAGGCAAGTAGTCATTTGTCGGTAAATACTGACTGAATTAACAAAATTTAGCTCAACTATTTTGTTTTCCTCAGGATTCTTTTGGCTTCATATGATTTATGTAGATAAATATTATGGTAAATTTTGAGGAAATTGAGAGCACAGCTAATTATATATTTTCTATGTATAGTTCTTGAGCCACAGGGAAGAAAAATTAGGAGTTAATAAAGTTGATAAGGCAAGATGGCCGAATAGGAACAGCTCCAGTCTCCAACTCCCAGCGCGAGCGACACAGAAGACCCGTGATTTCTGCATTTTCAACTGAGGTACTGGGTTCATCTCACTGGGGAGTGCCCGACGATCGGTGCTGGTCAGCTGCTGCAGCCCGACCAGCGAGAGCTGAAGCAGGGCGAGGCATTGCCTCACCTGGGAAGCACAAGGGGGAAGGGAATCCCTTTTCCTAGCCAGGGGAACTGAGACACACAATACCTGGAAAATCGGGTAATCCCCACCCCAATACTGCGCTTTAAGCAAACAGGAACACCAGGAGATCATATCCCACACCTGGCCGGGAGGGTCCCACACCCACGGAGCCTCCCTCATTGCTAGCACAGCAGTCTGTGATCTACCGGCAAGGCAGCAGCGAGGGCTAGGGGAAGGGGCGCCCCGCCATTGGCTGAGGCTTAAGTAGTACAACAAGCCGCTGGAAGCTCGAACTGGGTGGATCACCGGGCTTCAAAGGGAACCTGCCTTGTCTCTGTAGACTACCACCTCTGGGGACAGGGCACAGTAAACAACAACAAACGCAATAGAAACCTCT